AATAGCAATATGGTACAATATATTTCAGATGTTGATAGTAAGTGTTATTGTTTTAATTTTTAACAATGATATACATACTTGGTTTGTCTACCTCAATTGATTTTTAACAATTTTTTTCCCTTTGGTACTTTATATTATATTTAGTGCCTAAAACAAATTTCGTATGGATGCATTTATAAATGTCATAGAGATGTCTTTTACTACACTTTTAAATGTCTTAATGGATTTTTATCTATTAATGCACTAGATTATAAAGTTAAGAAAAAATGATGTGTGGTTATAGGGTGTTTACTAATACAATTTAAGGTGTCTTTATAGCCTTTTTTCCCCCTCACATAGTGATAATTATAAAATCATATAATAATTTCACCAATTGAACCTAATGTTTCATTTTAGACTTTAGTCTCATTTATTAATGTAATAAATAACAATAAAATTTTAATTTTTAGCTTTTAAAGTATATAATATTTTACTTAACAGCAAACATGTTCGACTTAATTATCCTCGTATGAACTTTTTACAAGGGAGAAAAGAAATGCTACAAGCCTACAAGTCTCTTCACACATTCCCCTTCGCTGATTCAGAAAAATCGGCTTAGAATTATTGGAAAATCGAGTGTCCAGAGTCAATATACGCAAAGGACAAGAACACAGTCCCACTTATTACCCTATGCCAGCTGGTCATCCTAACGAAGATTCCACCCTGAACATTGTAAGCTTGATTTTATATTTTCATACTATGGAATACACTATGTCAGATATTTGATTATAAAGTTAATTAGGCAGTAACAGACTTTTGACAATGTATAAAATAAAATGAAATAAGGTGCAACTAGGATCAATATAATTAATATATATGTTCTCCGGCTCACCGCACAGAGAATCACAAACCTAAACACGGTTTTTGAACAGGTCTACATGGGATTTTGTTGACTTGGATGGTCTTGAACTTTGGGTTATTCATGCCAATATCTTGTTATAAATAGAGCTACTAATATTTCTACCAAAATACACATATGACATATACTTATCCATTCACAAGTCAATTCATTCGTATCACAATCATAGGAAGCCATGAAAAACATGCAATCCAAAACTTGCATGATCACCTTAATGTTCCTCCTTTCTTTCATCGTTTCTAATGCATTCAAAAGCCCTTGTGAAAACACACCTTTCCCTCAATATTGCACATCCGCTCTTCGCGATTCTAATAGCAATCCATCCTCAACAATTCACGACAGCGGTCGCAATTCCATTAGTCATTCCTTGAGAATGGCCAACAAATTCATCGCTTTAGTCGATCGCTACATCAATGCCACGACTTCTTTCCCCGAAAGCACTCTTCGTGCTCTTCAAGATTGCTATTCACTCGCTATTCTAACGCGAGATTTCTTGACGGACACGATTCAAACTATTCGTTACAGAGATAACCTCCAAACTTGGCAGGCGGATTACATGCTGACGATTCTCAGTGCCACTTTGACTAACCAGCAAACTTGCATGAATGGGCTTCAAGAAGTGAGATCCGCCTCAAACGTTCGCAACATTTTCTCCGCCCCGATCACGAATGGAACTCAATCGTACAGTGTTTCTTTAGCCCTTTTCATGCACGGTTGGGGCGGGCACAAAAGTTCCGGGAGATGGTTAAAGGAATTAAGTGTCATGAAAAAAGTTGTAATCAATGGCGGCGGCGGAAGGAAGCTCTTGGCGACAATTCCGGCCGGTGTGAATGTAAGTCAAGTGGTGTTTGTGAATCCAAAACCAGGGAAGGGAAACTTCACGACTATTAGTGATGCGGTGGCGGCGGCTCCGAACAATACAGATGCAAGCAATGGTTATTACTTGATAAACATTGCCGCCGGAGTTTATCAAGAGTATGTTAATATTCCTAGTAAAAAAATGTACATTATGATGATCGGAGCCGGGATAAACAAGACTATCATCACGGGTAACAGAAGCGTGGTCGATGGTTGGACTACATTTAATTCTGCTACATTTGGTAAGAAATCAAAGTCTGAACTTACTTTTAAGTCTACAAGATTCGACATGCATGGCTGTCAACTAGGTAGCACCACATATATTTTACTTCCATTAATTGATGCATTCAATGGTTTCTTTTTTATATATGAATATAGTATATATTTTTTGTCTGGTTAGCACAAGTTGACTCAAATGTCAACTCCAATAAGTCAAGAAATTAATTGATTTAAGTGCCCCTAGAAAGATTTGCGAAGGTTTATTTGCTAATTAACAATTACGTGTTAGTAAAATTTTTGTCAAAACTTTGACCATTGGTAGTATTCTTTTGCAGTTGTTACTGGACAAGGCTTTGTTGCACAAAAGATAACCTTCCGAAACACTGCTGGAGCAGTAAAGCACCAAGCTGTGGCTCTCCGTAGTGGCGCAGATTTGTCGGCATTTTATCAATGTAGTTTCGAAGGATATCAAGACACATTATACACGCATTCTATGAGGCAATTCTACAAGAAATGTGATATTTACGGCACCGTAGATTTCATATTTGGAAATGCCGCAGTTGTTTTCCAAAACTGCAATATATATCCTCGTCTTCCGATGCCAGGCCAATTCAATAGTATAACTGCACAGGGCAGAATTGACATAAACCAAAATACAGGGACCTCGATACAAAATTGCATTCTCAAGGCTGCTCCTGACTTGGCTTCGAGCAATGGGACGATCCAAACTTATTTGGGTCGGCCCTGGCAAAATTATTCAAGGACGATTGTCATGCAATCGTTTTTGGATAATGTGATTAATCCCGCGGGTTGGACACCTTGGTCTGGAAATCAGTCATTGGATACGTTATATTACGCCGAATTCAACAATAAAGGACCCGGATCTGTGACTACGAACAGGGTTAAATGGCCCGGTTTCCATTTGATCAATGCCACTGATGCAGCTAATTTCACAGTTTCCAGTTTCATACAAGGCACAAATTGGTTACCCACGACTGGAGTTGCCTTTGCTAGTGGTTTGAAAGTATAGAGATTTGTTAAAAGCGTTTTACATTTTTTTAGACACTTCATTTTTTTTTATAACTATTTAATGGAGTACTTAAATGTCCTTTTGTTCTTTCGTTGTATTTTTTTTTCCCAAGAAATTGTACTTTCATTGTACAATGTGTTCAAAGATTGTGTAATATTCATGGTGGTAGAGTACAGCTGAGTTTACTATTTCATCGAGGTTTATTTTTCTTTATTTATGCATATTCATTTCATTGTAATAAGTTCCCAATGGATCAGTTGACTTTGAGAAATTTGCTTGGGTCTTTATTTTCCTTAGTTTTGACTTACATATCCTTTTAGTTCCAATTACAATTTACTCCCTTCGATTTAACGTCTATAACAGTTAACCCCCAGACAAAAGTCAAGTTAGTCTTTGTTAAAAGAATCACTAAAATAATTAAAAAAAAAAAAGAATCATTAAAACACAGTCTTCAAAAACAAACAAAAAAAAAATCATAAGAAAGGAAAAAAAAAAACGGAGAGAATAAATAATAATGCATGAAAATGTTGCCTTATTTGAGAATGATGAATGGCTTGAAAGCCTGTAAAAACTCACGTACGCGCGTGTAGTTTTACCGAAAAATAATTAGTGGGTTTACAAACATTTCATTCTTTTTGGATGCAACTTGGGAACATGAAACTATTCTATTCGTTTTGACAGAATTATGAGAACTCAGCCATGCATAAAGCATGATGTATGTAGAAACTGTGAGTCACTGATCTTCGGAACTTGATGTTATATCTGCGCTTTGACACGTTTAAGAATGGTGCTCGGACAAATTTGATGGTGGTCAAGTAAACTCTAACAAATTGGTAAATAACTGATTGACCACAATCGGATATTACAATCTCATAATTTTTTGGGGACAAAATCATTTTATTTTAAATTTTTAGTGCAATTGCAATGAAGGAGACAACAATTTTATTTTATACGTAAACGATACTGGATCCGGCCGGCATCCTTTATGGAACAGTACCATGGGCATGAGTTGAAGCCAGAACCAAAAATGCAATGATAATACTCGAGTTGTACTGAATTGAATGGTTTCGCGAGGATAAAAACAAGGTGTTTAAACTGTATGCATTGTCCTACTTGCACTATTAGTTTCTTCAATCAAGGATGGTTTATGAGTTGTCTTCTAATTAGTTATAACGATAGTTAGAACTTAGAAATGCAATAGCTAGCCTTCTTGTCCCTTTGCTCGCAACAATTTTTAGCTCTCCGTCACGTTTTAATAGTTTGCTACAACTTCCCAGAAAAGCCTTCAATCTTTCTTCCCTAATAACTTCACTATCTTACAATCTTTCTAATCCTGATTCCTGATGGATTTCAAATCTTTCTTACTGCCAAGTTTTGTAGTACGTTAGATACAACTTTAGCACTTCTTTTTTCGATTGAATTTTCGTCCAATTAAATTGAAATATCTCTCTTAGTTATACGTATCTCACGATCCATAAAAGTAGATACCAGGAAGGTATATGTAGATGTAAGTCTTTTGATCTCTTCATATTCTTCTTTAAGTTGAACAGTTCCTAGAAACTCATTTACAAACTCTCCCAACTCTGACGAATGAACAAAATCTGGTAAACTCCTCCTGAAAGATAGACCTCCAAAACTCAAACACAATCGCCCAACCTAATTAGCCACCGACTTACCAATTCAACACCCCTGAAAAGTAAGTTCATACTGGTGCTAACTATAATCTTCAACCAAGGAGAGAAATTAAGATTCAGTTTAATCTTCAATGTACATCCTAATGTGTGATTATCGCCGCGTTATCAGACAGAAGCCAAAGATTTTATCAGTTGGCTTCTGGTCAAGAGTTTGCAAACAAGAAAAAACTACCACATTTATGTTTTCAAAGAAGAAAACTCCACAGTATTTCCCTTGACCGTCCAAGACCAAAGACATCAATGCAAAAATGCTGACATAATTTAGAAAACAGAACTGTAGACAAAAGATGAAATTAAGTTTCTCATGCATAAAAAGTTCAAAGATACCTAAACTTTAACTCAGTTGCTCAGCATCATCAACCAGCTACTCATTCTCAGCAAAAAAGAGGACCTCTTATAAGTGGAACATCTTCAACTACTGCGAGGAAATAGCATCTGTAGCATCATCATCAGCGGGTTTACCATTTTCAGCATTAGCGTCATCAACAGGATCTTCAGGTGATTCCTTCGGAGGCGGGACAAAGAATGGTATCTTACCTCTTTGCCAATCATGAAGAACCATCTTAGCAGCCGTCATCAAATCGGGTTCACCTCCTCTCAAGAGCTTCCCGGTTGCCTTGCACAGCTGAACAAGAAAATCATGATCATCTTCCCAATCCGTTATCTTATATGCTCTCTGAAGGTGCTCTTTCTTCACACGTTTCAAAACTTCACCAATGTGCTCCGCAGCATCTTCCAAATTCGTCACCCGGACCACACCTTTCAGTACGATATCAGTTTCCGAATCATTGTTATTCTGATACACAACTCCGGGGCAATCAATCAAGAAGATCCTCTTTGTGAGCGTGATATACTGCCACACTTTAGTCTCACCAGGAATTGGCGCAACCTTGCAAACATTCTTAGTACGAAGAGTGTTGATAACCGTGGACTTCCCGACATTAGGGTAACCAACGAACCCAACAGATATGGCCTTCTTGTCACTCTTCAAACGCGAAAACTGTCTCAAAACTGTCAACAGAGAAACCTTTCCAAAGGACTTATTGATACTAGCATGGAAAGCCAAAGACGGATACTCTTTCGATAAAACCCTAAGCCAACCTTTTGTTACCCAAGCAGGAACCAAATCACATTTGTTTAGCAAAATAACCATATACTTATGCTTACAATTCTCTTTCAAGTGCTTCTCCACATGATAACATCTCGTTCCCATTGGATCCCTAGCATCCAAAACCTGAATAACAACATCTGAAGAATCTATTACTTTATAAAGCTCACCCCATATCCTTTTACTTTGACCTTTCTCAAACATTGTGTGCCGTACCAAATCTCGGAATCCATCATCGTTTTCATTTCCTTCTTCTTCTTCAAAAGAATTACTGCCCTCAGCTGATCTCTTCACTAGTGATTCGTAATCCGAAACCTGAAGCTTTGGACGCTTCCTCTTTCCCTTTGGTCCAAAAGCATCCGCAAAGGACTCGGTTTCCAAGAGATGAACTCTGGCTTGCTTTTGGTGATCGTTTAAGAGTGACCATGGAAGCTTCCTTTCCTTCAAAAGAACATTGTAATTGCTTGAAATATGACTCGTCAACTCCTCCCGGAAGATTTCGAGCTTTTTAGGGTTTATAACCTTAGTGTTAATGAACAATCCGCGATCAGGTCTGATTCTGGTTGATGGCAACACTTTGGACTGCAAATCGTTAAATAAAACTTTGCCCTTGGCGTCGCGCTTTGGCCTGGTAACATACATCTTGAGCCGCCGCTCGGTGGCGGAGCTGCGGCCGCCGTTTCTGTTCACATCAAGAGAATGCTTTTGCTTCCCCACTACCTTAATCTTCGACCTCTCTTTCTTCTTCCCCATTAGAGAAACGGAAGGAATGTGCAAACTGTAACCCCAAAAAAATAAAGTATTATTGTTACTACACAAAGTAATTCAGATTAATTCAAAAGGAGGAAATGGATCGAATGTGACGGCCGAATGAATCGTTTGTGAGATTGGAGAGAGAAAGGCGCTGGAGGTTTACTCTCCGATGTACGGCGCCGGAGTTGGGATCACTGACCGCCACCTCCCTAGGGTTTTGACTTGTAAAGAGCCCGTAATTGCTTTTTTATTCTACTTTTTTTTCCCCTCACTTTGCATTAAGGCCCATACTTCTTTGCTTCATTTTTTGACCCAAAAATCATTTTATGAATCCAAATTAATCCTTTTTAAACTGGTCTTATTAATCTGTCACGATCCAGGAGTTTATTTGTAGTTTCTAAAAATTAAGGACTTAGTTACAATTAGCTGATAGACAGGATCTAGGGGTAATCATTGTAATAATGATTAGTTACTATTTCTGTCTAAGTTTCCCATTTCGGCTAATCATCATCAAGTAATAATACTGAATTTCTATTCACCTGTCAATCTCCTTTTTCCTTATGTACTCTTCTCTCAACTCCTTCTCCCTTCCTTCCCGCCTCCTCTGAAATTTGAGTTTCGGCTTCCGCTTTTTACATCTTGGGAGGCCCAAACCTTCTTCTATTTCCAATTTCAGACCGGTATCTGGTAAGCTAGTATCAGAGCCGGGGAATTCCTCGGCTTGAGACAGCATCAAGATGATGCAGACGAAAACACCGAAGGAGATTGAAGATCTCCAATTGCATCAGGATGATCTACGTTTTCATTTGGAAGAAATGCAGCTTAATCTTGCGAATTACGGCAAGTCGGTGTAGGCTCAATTGAAAGCGTTAACGACAACGTTCTTGGATAAGTTTGAAGCTCTCAATTCCAGAATGGACGCCATGAATCAGCCACAGCCACGATTTGATCCTTCGATATCAACAAACCCTAAGGAAAGTCTTTTAGGGCGGAAATCAGACGAGGTAGTGATTTCGGTGGTCAACAAGAGTCAAGAATGTATACCGGAGGTTATCACGATGGACCAATCACCATGGGAGGTCATCGGAATTAAAGAAAAGGCGGTGGTTGGCAAGATTCCTCATTATGCCCTTCCAAGAATTGAATTGCAAGTGTGTACTAGTCAGAAACCACGCGAATGGATTAGGAAGTGCAAAAAATTCTTCCTGATTCAACAAATTTCATAAGATCAAAGGGTGGACACTGTAGAGCTGTATATTGATGAGAAGCTGACACTTGGTTCCAGTCAATAAAGATGATCAAACCTGACATTTCTTGGCCAGAATTCTATAAAGAATTGCTGAAACGATTCTTAGATGTGGGGGAAGTTAATCCAGTAGAAGAATTCAATAAGCTTACACAGAAGGGAACGGTAAAGGAGTATCAGGTGAAGTTTGAAGCACTAAGGGCTAGGATGATGATTCAAGATCCTTGGTTATAAGAAGATTATTTCACACATAGCTTCCTCAGTGGATTGAAGGAGGAACTACAAGCTGGGGTGAGGATGCATGAACCCTTATCTTTAACTTCTGCTTTCAGGATTGCTAGTCTGCAAGAGAGGCAATTGGAGGTGACTCTAAGGAAGCAGAGGACCACTCCTTATCAGGTGAAGCATCCTTATACTTCCTCTAGTAAGGTAACTGAAAATTTCAGGCATGTAAATGGAAGTAATAAGAGCATTAACCCTGATTTTGTGAAGAAATTGACTAATGAGAAGTATTAATATAGAGCAAACAAACAATTGTGTTTGAAGTGTAGAGAAAAATTTGGTCCAGGGCATGTATGTAAGTACATGCAATTCAATATCATGATTGTTAATGATGAGGATGCAGAGTTAGAAAGTACTAAAATTGATGCTCTTGAGTTGTTATTGGATGAGGGAATAGATCTAAATGATCTTACTATAGAGAGGGGTCTATGCATGTCATTTCAGTTGATAGTGTGAAGCAAACCATTTTGTTGTTGAGAAAAATTGAAGGAAGGATCATTAAGATTTTGATAGACACTGGTAGCACGGACAGTTTTGTGGATCTGTTACTGGTGAGAGATCTCAAGTTACCCTATAAAGAGTCCAATCCATTTAGTATTACTGTTGGTAATGGAGGAAAGGTGACTGGAAATTTGGTATGCCCTAATTTGCATTGGAAGATCAAAGATTACAAGTTTAACTATGATACGAAGATTATGAGATTAGGAGGTTATGATCTGGTTTTGGGAGTCGATTGGATGAAGCACTACAGTCCCATTACATTTTATATGGCTGGCAATTGGGCGGGTAGGGCGGGTATTGTGTAGGTATTTAATGGGCTGGATATTATTACGAATGGGATATTTTGACTACCTATTTATTTTACACACATTTAGGATTGGGTAGTGATTGGATAATGGGTAGTCCCGTACCCATTAGGATCCCATAAAGTGCAATTATTGGGATCCTAATGGGTACTGGACTACCCATTATCCAATCACCATGGGATTCTTCTCCATTTATTTCTATTTTTTTATAATTTCTTTTTGTTCTTCTCTTTATTATCATTTTTTTCTGTTTCCTTTTTTAAAAAAATTAATTGAAATCAATTTTTTTTTACTCTTTTGAAGTTTCCAAGACTTGTGAGAAGCCAAGAAGTTAGGAGAGCGACATATAAAGCCGAACTATCAAGATACAGAACGGAATTTTTCAACATGGAAGATGAAGGGGTAGATTACAAATGCAACCAAAACATAAGTACTTGAACTGTGATTACAATTTCGATCCAGGTTAGAAGGGTAACAATCCCTTCATTCCAAAAGAAAACTAAAAAACATGAATGGGCTAAAAGATTTCACTTTTTGGCCTTGGAAAACCTAAGGCAGAGGTATTTTTCACCACTAACAATAATCTCAAGAGCACCGTCTTGATTGTCTTGATTGGATGTTGTGACTAGTGGCGTTACTCAACTCATATGCAATAGCCGCAGCAGAAACTTGAGAGAGTGAAAAGAGAAGGCCGATTAGAGTCGAGGTCACAATGAAATAGAGGTGGCAGTGGGGGTGGTGGCGACGGGGTGGCGGCGGTGGGGTGGTGGCGTTAACGGAAGCTGTTGCTACTGTGGTGGAAGAAGAAGAATTGACGCCATCGAGAAACAAGTGGGGAATGCCTTATTAAAATAACCCAATATAATTTTATTATGCCCAAAATATCCCAACGGATCCCAGTCCCAAACCCAATATTTACCCGTCTAGAATAAACACCTACCCATGTGTGCCCATTAAAATATGGGCGGGAGTTATCCACCCATTTAGTAAGGGTCCCATTGGGATCCCAACGAGTTTGGGTATTTTTGTCAGCTCTAACATTTGATTAGGATGATATACATGTGAGGTTGAGCAAATTTGGTAGGCAGTATAGTCTGCACGGTACTAGTAACATTAACATTATGAGGTTGATCAGAGATAAGGACTGCCAAGTGTTAACTCAAGGTAGAAGATGCAAAATGATGGCAATGCAGTTACAGTCTATGAATTGTGATGATCCATCTGTAGTGGAGTACCCATTACCAGAATCAGTATCCAAGTTGTTGGATGAATATTGTGAGGTATTTGAAAATCCTAATTCACTACCTCCTAGTAGGGCTGTAGATCATCAGATTGTTTTGAAAACTGGTTCTCAACCATTTAAGATATTGACATACAGATGCCCTCATGCTTACAAAACGGAGATAGAGAAACAGGTGGAAGAAATGATCAAACAAGGAATTGTTCAACCTAGTAGAAGTCCATATGCTTTCCCAGTAACACTTATGAAGAAAAAAGGATGGGAGTTGGCGAATGTGTGTGGATCATAGGAAACTGAATGACATGACAATGAAAGACAAGTTTCCTATTCCTATCATGGAAGAATTGTTGGATGAACTGCAAGGTGCCACCGTATTTTCTAAGCTTGATCTGAGAGCTGGATATCATCAAATACTGGTTAACAAGGATGATGTACAGAAGACAGAATTTCAGACACATCATGGGCATTATGAGTTTCTGGTGATGCCATTTGGGTTGACAAATGCTCCAGCAACATTTCAATCTTTGATGAACCCAGTGTTTCAAGCTCAGCTAAGGAAATTTGTCCTTGTGTTTTTTGATGACATTTTAGTTTACAGGAAGGACTTGGAATCACATCTCATCCATCTCGGGAAGTGGTAACCCTTCTTAAACAGCAACAGCTCTATGCCAAGAGGAGGAAATGTAGTTTTGCTCATAGATCAGTGGAGTAAATGGGTCACATCATTTCTCAGAAAGGGGTTAACATGGATCCACAAAAGATTTCTAGTATTGTTAAGTGGCCTATACCAGCAAATGTTAAGTCTCTGAGGGGGTTTTTTCGTCTCACTGGGTATTAAAGAAGATTCATTCATGGATATGGAGTCAGCTGTAAACCTCTTACAAATCTTCTTAAGAAAAATTCTTTTGAATGGAGCAAAGAGGCACAAGCATCTTTTCAGAAGCTTAAAGAAGTGATGACTACTGCACCTGTTTTGAGAATGCCATACTTCTCTCAATCTTTTATAGTGGAGATTGATGCAAGTTATTTGGGTATGGGAGCAATTTTGATGCAAAATGGTCAACCTTTGGCATTTCTGAGTAAAGCATTCAACCAACAATAGAAAGGGTTATCAGTGTATGACAAAGAATTGATGGTTGTGGTTTTAGGAGTTACCAAGTGGAGACATCATCTTTGGGGAAGAAGGTTCATCATCAGGACTGATCTTCAGTCTTTAAAGTACCTGACATAAAGAATTCTTTAGAAATATTAGCAGCCCAATCCAATCTTTCATTCCCTTCATCATCTTCTTTAGCAAGCGCGCCACTGTTTTTACCAGAGGTGCTCCCAGGGAGAAGCAGGGACGGAGGTAAGCTGCTCGGAAGTTTTTTCTGGCTTGTTGGGGGTGCTTGGGCATACACAAGCCCCTATGTAGGTCCGTCCCTGTTGACAATACAGTGGAAAATCAATGCTTTGCTTTAACTAATGTTTTTCCACAGTGGATCAGTGATGTGGTTTCTAGTTATCAGAGTGACAATTTGGTTCAGGAGCTTATTGCAGGGATCACCATCAAACCAACATCTTATCATGAGTTCCAATATGTGAATCACATACTG